TAGACCTGGGTTTTAACCCTGGGTCTGTAGTCAACTGGGGCAAGTTAAGTAAATCACAACAGAGATTAAGTGTCTGTGAAATGCGGCTGGGAACAACAGCTCATGTTCATGTTGTCCTGGAAGGATTAATCCATGTAGATGACTGATGGTAACTGGCAGAAATAGCTAAATAAATGGTGGTAGTGATGGTAGAATAGTAGCAGCAGTAGCGGTGTTGTGGCAGTAGTTGTAATAGTGAACATCAGTATCCTTCCCAACGTCGTGATTTCGCTTATTTGTACCTTGTCACAGAGTTACAAAAGGTCAGTCTCTGGTAGGTGGGACCAATAAGAGATAGTAGATCATATTTATTGGTGGACTGTATATTAAGAATCAAGAAAGAATCTTAATGCTGCTGTGACAACTTCAAATCCTACCTAGGGTTTGTGCCACCAGTGACTGTTACCAACAACTGTGTCGGGGACTCTTGTCCAGTAATCTTGCCAACATCATTGCAGAAGGTTACCAGCCCTGCAGGGACTATTAGCATGGTCTGCCTTCTGTCCGCTTCCATAGGAAGGCCAACCTCCCTCGTTATTCTTCCATCATAATGTGGCTATATCGCCAGTGCCTCCATGAGTGGAATTCACACATAATGCAAATTCAAGCGAGTTGCTTCTCATGGCCATTCCCTGACCCATAACCCTCTGTCACAGTTCTCTCTCAATATCTGCACCTACGGGCAGTGGAGGGGAGAAAGCAGGCAAGGCAAGCATTGGAAAAATGTGCCCAATTCAGTAGTTCTCTAGTGGGGGCAATTTTACCCTTCAAGGGACATATTAGTGATGTCTGGAGACCTTTCTGGTTGTCACAGTGGGGATATTGCTACTGTCATTTACTGTCTAGAGACCTACAGGGCCCAGGAGAGCCCCCCTCAACAAAGATTTATCTGGCCCAAAATGTCGTTGGTGTTGAAGTTGAGAAACTGACTTAACCCAAACTAGAGAAACGAGGTTTCTCTGTCTGGCTAACTGCAATTGCTGGGAATATTAATATCATTTTTTTTTTTTACAAGTGGACTCCTTGCTGGCAGTACAGGCTTCAGGCAAAGATGCTGAGGTGGGGGAGATGGATAGCCTTTATTTGAGGAGTGGTTTCTTTATACTGAATACAGCTGCCTCTCAGCTGTGCCCTGGCCCCCAGCTGCGAGGCGGCCTCTGACAGTCTTCAGAACTCTGGAGAACCAGGCAACACTTCAGATTCAGTGTAAGGGCAGAGCTGGTGACAGCTTCTGCTGCGTGTGCCAGCTGCTGATGTGCAAGGACAGAATGTGAGTCTTGCTGACCATGGGACTGTGGCCCCTGGTGGAGGGTGAGCTCATGACCCTTTGAATATGGGGGTTAAGCCATGCAGCACCATGGGAGAGGGTCCTTTAGGAAGGTTGAGAACATTTTTCCAGCAGAAAACTTTGTTTCACTTATGTTTTTAATACAGTTAAAGTACTTATTAAAACAGACCCACACGAGGGGCACTGGCACTTGGCCCCAGAGCACTGCTTGTGGGCAATACATGCAGAAGCAGGTGATAGGTATTTCACTGCCAGCTACCAGTGGCCCCACTGGGGTTCAGGCTGTAGGCAGAAGCCAGCAGTGATGGCAGGCGCAGTGGTTCTCCTACTGTGCCGCGCCAGGGCATGTAGCCCCTGATTTAGGGCTGCAGAGAGGAACGTGGGGGTGGGCATGGGAGCACAGGGCAAGCTCCAGCCCTGTGGCTCCCTCCAGCTGCTGGCAGTAGAGAAGCCAGTGGATTTGGTGCCTGGATAGTAGATTGGACCGATCAGGTGCAAGCTATGAGCTGATTGGTAAATGGTCCAATCAGCCATAGGATTGATACTGGTCCAATCAGACTTGTAGGTGGGGGCCCCGAAAGAGGATATAAGGCAGGGCAGGCGCCACCTTGGGCCTCCTGCACTCGCTGAGATGCACACTCCGACTCTTGGTTCCTGGCCTCAGCTTCACTGAGTTGGTTCCTGAATGCCAATGGACAAAAAAGAAGCACCCAGCAGCTGACCTCTGAAGGAAGAGAAGTGAAAAACTTCGCAGAGTCACAGAGGCTGGGCCGGCTGCACCTTCTTGTGGGCCGCCTCTGACATGGCCTGAACAGCCCACCAAAGGCCCTTGGCCTGGTGTTTCAGAGAGCTGTTTGTTGTTGGTGTGGGCCAACAACTCACAGAGCTGTAAAGCTAGTGACCTGGTGACCAGCACCCTGTGTCTGGGTTACCTCTAAGAGTTGGAAATGGTCCATCACCACCTCCCAGTACTGCTACCTCTGTTGTTGTCTGGACCAGCATCCAGTGCTGTCCCAACCTCAGACTGTGGCTGCTGCAGCATCATCTATGCTGCGCTGCCCCACCTGTGGGCCCCACCAGCTGTGGTGAGTTGGATCCCAGCATGCTGCTTGCTGGCTGCTGCAAGCTTCAGGCTCTTGACGGGAGGGCACTGTATAGGGCTAGGAATGGACCCAGGGCACAGTGCAGGTTTTCTGATCCTATGCAGACCGGGTAAAGGAGGAGTCAGAGTTCTCAGTGGTTTTTTGCAGGTCTTTTATTGGGATTTAGCGGGTACATGGCAGGCAGGAGTGCTGGGGGGCCGGGAGGCTGGTAGTTCTCTCAGCCCCCAGCAAGTCTTCACTCTATCTGGGCTCTCCGGCGTTCTCTCTGCTTCTCTGCTCTTCCATTCGTTCTGCTGCTTCTTGGCTTCTCTTTCAGCTTCTGCTGGCGTCCCTGTAACGCCGCCCTTAAAAGCCGAGTCTTAGCCCAGGTGAATCCCATCTACACATGCCCACACCCTATTCCAGGTGCTGCCATCAGGCATGCAATCAGGACCACAAGGATCCATCATCTATCCTGATGGCGGGAGGTCAGAAAAGCCTGACATTTTTCCTTACCCTACAGGCACCATCTTGGGTGAAAAACATTTTGTTTAGGACTTTTTATTGACACTATAGACATTCTCTGGAGTGAGATGGCTGGCCACGTGTGGCCTTGAGAACACCTTATTTCCCATGTTTGTTAAACCCTGTTGTTCCCTGAGTCAGAGTGATCCTGCCGTTGTGTATGAAAACCCACAGACAGTGACCAGTCCTCTGCTGGGCACTGTCCTTTAGACTACAGCACCTCTAAAGCACTGTTTCACTAATGTGCCAAGGAGTGTTTGAAAGATTTTATATTAACTCATCAGATCCTCATAACAACCCCAAGAAGTAGGTTTGTTCTTACCATTCCAGTATAGATAAGGAAACCTAGGAAGTTTGTCTCCAAAGTCTGGACCCTTAGTCACTAGGCTGTGGATGAAAAGAACCCTTGGGTTATTTGTTTAGCCCTGGCCCTTGACTTCTGGCTGGTTTCAGGTATGATGGAGCTAGGCAGACCTAAATCAAGTCTCCATTCTGATTAATTATCTCTGTACCTTATTTCTTGTCTCTGCACCTCAGTGTTTTCATTTGTAAAATGAAGTCATACCTACCTAATAAAAATGTGAAGATAGAATGGGATTTCTTACTGTGTATGTGGCATATAATAGGGATTCAGGAAACATCAGTTTCCTTTTGACTTCTTGTTATAATCATGTTTTTAGCCCCAGTACTCTAATGTTATACCCAGTGTGTCATACTACCTGTGGGTAAGATAATACACTGAAGGGCAAAATCAGACTTAATAATATATTTCTTAGACTAAATGAGTAAAAATGCTGCTCTAGAGTTTCACATTGTGAAGAAGACTGATATTTGGTATTGGGAAGGATGAGATTATGCCAAGCACATGGAACAATGCTTTCAGGATAAAGATGTGGGTTTTCTTTTTGTTTATTGTTTTTAGTGAGCCCTACCAATGCTGTCTGTAAACTACTAAGAGCTCAAATTTCCATGTTAATTACACACATCTGTTCTGAATAGGTTCTCAACCTGGCAAAATAGGGCTGCCCGAGTGCCTCTTAAGGACGTTGTGCTCTGGGGCAAGTGAACCGATGGTTTTTTCTTCCTTCTTTCTAGAGCACCTGCTCAGAGCAAGTTTTGTTCCTGGCCGAATAAAAGGTGGCAGTTTCCGTTTGTTTTCCTTGAGAACTTTCTACCTCCTGCCACTCACACTGTGTACTTCTCCCCGACCCAGTTCACAAATATGTCTGGATTCTAATCACAGGAATAGCTATCCTATTGTCCTTCAAACTTTCTCACATGTACCACATATATAAATTAGTATATCTTTCTTTAATTATGAAATTTCAGAAAAGAGGAGCTAATTTCATTTATTTTATGTATACAGAATACCTTGTATACAAACATAGTAAATATTCATGTATACATAAGGATGATGTGACTGTGATTTGTGCAAAGAAAGTACACTATTCTTTAATCCAAAACATGAGCTGTATAAGAAAGAAAATCCTCTTAAAGGAAATTACCACAAGAGAAATATCCCCCAGCAGAACTGTCTGGCACATAGTAGTTGTTAAATAAACATTTCTTGAAAAAACCGAGTCTGGTCTTTAAGTGTTTTTGTCCCTCTGGTGATAGTTAACTTTGGGTTACCTAGCATGCTTGAGTACACAGCATGCTAGAGTACACAGCACTAAAAACAATGAACTTGATCCAGAAGTTACCTCAGTACCTTGCTGCACTTTGGATTGTCATTCTATGTATCAGTAACCATCATGCTTCTAAGGAGAAGTGATTTATTAGAATGGTTTGGTAGAAAGCTAAGTAACAAGGGGTTTTCACTATCAACCTAGTAGCTGGAAATAATTTTATACCATTTATTGCAAAACTTGCAGAAGAGATTGTACTCTCTGGGCCATTTGAAGATGGTCATCTTTAAAATGTGGTTTGTTAACACAGATGATTGAACACTATTTTTTGACACTTGTCTTTCGTGGTGGGAGGGGCAGGTGGACGAACATGACAGACAAATATACAGGTCCTCAAGAATTTTTGTAAAACATGCTTTTTTTTTTTTTTTTAAACAGATCTGAAGAAAACTCTTGCCGTGTTGTTGGATAATATTTTGCAGCGCATTGGCAAGTTAGAATCAAAGGTGGACAACCTTGTAATCAATGGCACAGGAACAAACTCGACCAACTCCACAACAGCTGTCCCCAGCTTGGTAGCACTTGAGAAAATTAATGTGGCAGGTAAGAGTTGCAAGTCTCTGTTCTGACAGGCAGTCCAACTGCTTTCAACTAGGAAATTAATAAAGGAGCGCAGTGCTTCTTACTGGTGCAAGATGAATCCCACAAACTTGTATGGCCTTTGTAAACTACATTTAAATTTCTTTTTGAATAACAGATGTTGAAATGCTTTTACAGCCTCTCATCATGATGTGGTTTCTGTGACATATTTCACATAATAAGCTCCTGGAATTTGCTGTTAATTAGAAGATTCATATAGCATGGATGAATGAAATGCGGAGGTTATCTGGGAAGCTCATGTTTAGAGTTCCTCCTCCCCATTTTCATCACATAGTTTCAGAAGTCTGTTACGTATTGTAGATTTTCTCCTTTTGTTAAAGAAGAACTCCCATTGTATAAAATGCCTTCTGTGAGTCTCTGGAGAAATAATGGAGAAAGGTAATGATGAGATATGTAGAAATGTGTTATTGACTATATAGCTGAGGTTTTATACAGAATAGTAAATAAAGGCAAGATTTAGAAAATTAGTCTAAGCCTTAGTATAAAGGCTTTATGAGAAAAAATTAAAGAATTTAATCTTATTCTACTGGCAATAGGGACAGAATTGAAGAAGAGTATTGGGTTGAGCTCTTGCTTAAAGTGTTTGAGGCAAATTCTTTCTTCTCCGCTGCAGTGATACCAGTCTCAGGTATAAGAGTGATGAAGACACCCAGTAATAGGCCCAAAAGGGCATTGTAACTTATAATGCAGAAGTCTAAATTCTGAACACATAGGAAATAAAGGCCTCCAGCCTGACCTTGACCTGGTCCTGTAGCCACTCATGGATCCCACCGTGGTGTTCCCACTGGGATGCATTTTGTCTGGCCCCTTCTTAAATCTGGAATCTTGGATAAGAGAAGAGAATGGATTAAAAGCAAAACTCAAATCATACACAACCCACGTTGGACATGCTGTTGAAGTGCCCTCAGCTTGGCCTCTGGGTCTTTGTGGTTGAGCCAGCCCCAACCACTGTCATTTCCTTGCACCCCAAAGTGAAGAACTAGAGGGTTAGGATTAGGTGCTTTGGCTGAATGGCTGTGAATGAAGCTGTCTCTACTCCTGGTGGGTGGTATCCAAACTCTAGTTAATGGATAAAATAAGTGGCTGATTTTCTTTGAACTTACAAAAATCTAGTTGAGTACACTTTTTGCCTTTTCTTTCTCCTTTATTATAAAAATTCATAGGCTTCAGTGGGAGAGATTCTTTTCCTTTCCCACCTTCCAGTGTCAAAACATTTAATTGTTTCATATTATACAAGCTTCTCTGTTACCTTAGGTTCTTTGCCCTTTAGCAAGTTTTAAACTGCAAAATATATTTCTAAAAATCCAAAGTATCCAGCCAAACAAAGGTATTAAAAATAACTTTTAATTACAACACAGAGGCAGTGTCATCTGGGCCATAAATCCTGTCTTCCCTGCAGTTTCCAACAGCTTCTGTAATTAGACAAGAAAACCTCCCACTGTGTTGAGCTGCTTTTTAATAAATGGAACCCATGCCTCTCCAGTCGCCATTCCTCCACCCCCGTCCCCAGTAGGAAATGCTGTTGAAAAGGTCCTGTCTGATTTCATGGCAGTTCTGCATTATCCCGGTTCTTGAGTTGGGGTGGGATCTTATGCCTTCAACTTGCTGCCTCCCACTCCCTCTGTCCTGTAGACCCATGTTAACTCTCCCTTCCCTGATAAGGGGTCTTGCTATCTCTGGCTGTCCTATTTGTGCCTGGTTCACAGTGAGATTTCCCCGCCCAGGGTACACAATTGTGGGTAGACTTCCATGGGGGAGTTGGTGGTTTACTTCTTTCAGAGGATCCCAGACTCCCTGCTGTGTAGTGAACTATTTTACTGACTTAACCGGTATCTGTTGAGCACATTCTCAAAGCCACTGGCTATGAGTAGGGCTTCATTAGATGTGCCAGTGGTGCTGTGTGTTTAATATTTAAAGGCCTAAAGTATTTTATTTTGTATTTTTTTCTTTTTGTAAATGGGAGCTAATTTAGTTGTACCTTTAATATAATTAGCTTCATTCTCACTCCTTTGCATCTTTTGTGTTTGTGAGATACACTCTCTACCTTCAGGGTATTTACTGGCCAATTAGGAAAACAGTACATATGTATAAAATGGCACAAACTGTGGGCTGTAGGAGGGGGTAGTTGTGAAAGGCTTGTTTCAGAAAGGTAAACTTTGAAGGATTTGAAGGATTGAGGCATAGGGGCCTCATGGAGGAGAACTCAGGAATGGATTATGACCCAGAAAAAACTTGGAAGGGAGAGAAAACTAATATCTAGTAACTATCCTGACGTTTGGGGGCACATGATATTACTTAATGTTTACAGCATCTATGAGAAGTGAATATTATTTACTACTAGAATCCCCAGAGCTCATTTTAAGATCTCCTTGCACCATGTAGAGAAGAGATTGTGAGAATCTGTCCTGTCTTTCTGGCTGCTGTTTATAGATCATTGCAAATGGATGAATCTGGGAAAATATGCAACTGTTTTTGTAGCTGTTCCTAGAGAGCTGATGGTTTCCTGGCTGTTTAATAATCTGTCTATTAAATTTCTCTAAGGGCCTGTTCTTTTAACTGAGCTGTGTAAGAAAAGAATAAGCTTACCCCTGTGTCTGTGTGTGAATGTACATTCCTTCCTTAGACACTGGATTAGCCACAGTTGGTAAAGATGGGAAACATAGCTCCTCAATTAACCAGCTCATATATTTAAACTATTTACCAAGTCTAAATTAGGGTCCTAGATAAGTTGTCCTCAAGAACGAGAGCGTCAGTTCATAGTTCTTGTCCATCAGCAATCTCTCATTGCTTTTTTGTCCTCTCTCCAAGCCATGGCCTTGTTGGCAGTCCTCACACCCTTGGGTCCTAACAGGAAGGACTCTTGAGCTGTGAGAGAGTTTGTTGTTATAGGATTCCAGTCCTACTTGAATGAAGTTTTTCTTTCTCCATTAAGACATGTGGTAATTGCTCAGAAATGTTCTCCCTGGTGTGTCTTTACTGCTTACTCTAGTGTCTTATTGCTCACTGATGTTTCTGATTGCTTACTGTTGTGTCTTATTGCTTGCTGATGTATCTACTGGTTGGCTATAAACTGCCTCTAAATTGGATATGAAAGCAGTTGAAGAAGTGTTCCCTAAATTTGTTTTCTTTGTAGGGATGCGCGCGTGCGTGTGTGCGTGTGTGTGTATACACGTGCATGCACATGTGCATCCCCCTTCCTCTGTTAGCCATGTTCTATGTAGTTTTTATCTGTAATAACTTTTCTCCCCAAATTTCTCACTCTTGGGCTCTTTTATTATGTGAAAGTGAATGTTCCTCTAGAGAAATTTAGCTGGAAATGAACTGTATTAAAATCAAGAATCCAATCGGTTTGCATTTTTAAGCTCTGTGTATCTTGTTGAAGAGGAAGGTGAATTGAAGAAATGAAACACTAGATTTTTAAATAATCCTTGCCCTTTAGTGAATCACAGAGCTCCAGGCTCACTCCCAAAAAGAGCTTGAATGCCTTCTTGTAAAAATTACCTACTTTCAGAATGATGCTTTGGTGTTTGGAAAAACCAGTTCTGCTTTTCTCTGCTTTGTGGATGTTAGATTATGAGGTAGAGCAAGATAGGATTGGGTGTCACGTTCTTTGCCTCGTACTAACATGGGGGAAAGGTAAAAAGTATAGATAGGCATAATGAAAAGACTTCCTATCTGTGGACTGACAGAGTCCAGTATCCTTGTTTTGTCCATGGCTTCTTGTGTGGAGCCTACCTGCTGATGGTACTCCATACATCCTGCCCACCTGGATTGGATTATGCTCTTGCAACAGCATTTATTTTCACTGCTGAAAGTAGTTTCTCCTTATAGTTCTTCTCCATTCCTGTTTATCAGGATTTGCTTGGAAGTGGGACCTGGTATCTCATTTCTTTCTCTTGGACATCAGCAGCACTAGCTAAGCAGAAGTCTATTTATGCTGGTCCTGAGTGAGCTTCTCACAGATTCCATGCTGTGGGATTGCTATTTTTAAGATTGTAATATTTTAAAGGATGGGGACATGGCTTAGCTCTCTGTGGGGGTGGGGAGATGATGTGTGTGCAGTTATACTCTCGAGAACCATTTGTGCTTTCAACATGGCTAAATAACTGGTCAGCATTGCTGGTTTGCTAAAAGCTATAAGGTAATGACCGCATCACCCTTGTGTTATGACCACTTACAATTTCAAGGGCAATTGGGAAACAAAATCACAAAATCGAAGTTGAAGTGCAACTTGAATGGCTGTTGTCTGATATTTAGTCCAAATTGAAAGTTGGCAGCCCTATATTTCCCTAACATCAGTTGCACAGGCAACATATTCTAGTGTTTGGGGTTGAAGTGCAGTGTCTTTGAACTGGGAGACTGTTTTTAATAAAAGGAACCGTAATTATTATTCTTACCATTTGAAAATTGAAAAGGAAAAATGTCCCTGCTGAGTTCCAGGGTTTGTGTTTGGAAGTGTAATTTTCTCCCCTTTGTGCTGCTAATGGACCTTGAAATTAAGTTGCACCTGTGCTGTTTCCTTGTTTGTGTACCTGTGTTATCAGTTATTTTGGAGGAGCACCTGAAGTGTCTCAACCCCATGCCCCAAGCAGTGGCTCAGCAGGTGGCTTTCTCAGGATCTGCCATTGACCAGTCACTGCACCTCAGTCACTGGCGCCCCAGATGCTGCTGAGAAGCAGGAGAGAGATGAGATTGCAGAGTGCTGTTTTATTAATTGCAGCAAGAAACACATGTTCCTCCTGCCTACCTGTGGCTTCCTCTGGCATTCTCTGTACAGGCAGCAATAAATATTTGGCTACTGCAAACCCAAACTGCACTTGAACCCCAAACAAAGAAACACTTCTTTTGGTACAGACAAATGTATTTCATTGTCGGTTTGGTTTCTCACTTTTTGTGGCCAAGGGTATTTTGATTTTTCTCATGAAGAAGGAGGGATGTGAGAG